AAATATAAAATACAAAACCATGAAATTCCTGAAATAGGAGAACAATCTTTGTGATCACAGATATGGTGATATCTTTTTAGATATGACACTGAAATTATGATCCATGAAAGAAATCCTTGATAAGCTTCAGTAAAATCAAAACTTCTGCTCAGTGAAAGACAACGTCAGGAGAAGTAGGACGAGCCACAGGCTGGGATAAAATATTTGCAAAAGACATCTGATCGAGGACTATTATCCAAAACATACAAAGAACTCTTAAAATTCAATGATAAAAAAACAAACAACATGATTTAAAAATGGGCCAAAAACTTTAACAGATACCTCACCAAAGAAGATATACAAATGGCAAATAATCATATGAAAGGCATTCCACATCACATGTCATCAAGGAAATTCAAATTAAAACAACAGCGAGATACCACTACACATCTATTAGAATGGCCAAAATCTGCAACACCAACACCACCAAAATGATAGCAAGGATGTGGAGCAATGGGAACTGCCATCCACTTGTCATGGGGATGCAAAATGGTACAGCTACTTTGGATAAGAGCTTGGCAACTTCTTACAAAACTAAACGTTCTCTTACCATATGATCCAGCAATCATGCTCCTTGGTGTTTACCCAGATGAACTGAAAATTTACATGCACACAAAAACCTGTACATGAATGTTTATAGCAGCTTTATTCATAATTGTCAAAATCTTGGAGGCAACCAAGATGTCCTTCAGTAGATGAATGAATAAACTGTGGTACATTCACACAGTGGAATGTTTTATTTCTAAAAAGAAAGGGGCTAACAAGACATGAAAAGATGTGGAGGAACCTTAAGTGCATATTACTAAGGGAAAGAAGACAATCTGAGAAAGTTATCTATTGTATGATTCTAACTCTACGACTTTCTGTAAAAGCCAAAACTATGGAGACAGGACAGAAATCAATTGTTGCCAGAGGTTGCGGGGAGGGAGGGGTGACCAGGCAGAGTACAGAGGATTTTTAGGGCAGTGAAACTATTCTGTAAGAGACCACGATGGTGAATATATGTCTTTATACATTTATCGCAACTCATAAAACGTAAAGCAAAAAAACCCTGATGTAAACTTTGGACTTAGGAGGATAATGATGTGAAATGCAGATTCATCAGTTGTAACAATGTACTCCTATGCTGGGGGCTTTGATAGCTGGGGAGGTTGTGCATTTGTGGGGCAGGGAGAACGATCTAGTACTTTCCACTCAATTCTGCTGTGACCCTAAAGCTGCTCTAAAAAAATAAAATTTATTTACAGGAATTCTTGCAGTGTGGCAAAAGCTAAGCTCCTGTGGGGAGATAATTACACCTGACAAGAGGCCAGTGGTGCATGGTGTTTGGGTGAAGACCGAAATGGAAGAAGCGCAGAAAAAGCGCCACAAAGGAAGGCTCGTCACCCAAAGCTCGTGGCGGAGGCATCCCAGGCCCGCACCGACAAATGGGCTTCTCGTCTTACATCTTCCTGCAGCTTCGTGCGGCTAAAAGCAGAGGCCTTGGGGGCCGATGTCCCTGTGGCAGATGTGTCTGCAACCATGTAGGGAAGCAGATTTAAAAGTCAGAGAAAGTGGAGGTAGAATTCATGGCCAAAAATGACAGCGGAGAATGTTCAGGAGGATTTGGGAGCTTAAAAAATCAACAAGTTCTAAGTAGTCAAACTCCTGTGAGCTTGAGGAAGCAAGGGGAAAGAAAGCCCTGTTTGATTAAAACCAAGCATCGAATCAACCCTTCACCCAGCTTGACACTAATTCTGGAGATAGGGAAACTGAGTCTGAGTTAGTTAGAAACTACGTATCTAGTAGGTGGAGGCAGTGCTTAAACCACTCTTTCCACTGCGGCCCACCCAACCCCACTCCATGCCTCTTGTTGGAAACTGAGAGACCCTACTGATCCCACAGAAGTGGGGACGGACAGATGTCCACCTGGATTTTCAGGATGAGACTCAACTGACCATCCAGGGTGCTGGGCCAAAGGCTACTTGATAAGATGAGGAGCTCATGCAGAACCCAGATGCCCATTCACCCGGATGCTAGCATCAGTCTGGTGTGGGAGATGGTGGAGGGAGGGTGGCACAGAATGTGGCATCTTTCTGGCTTTTTCCTGCCATGCAATCTGCAGATGGCTTCGAGAAGACGAGAAGGAAGATGTGAACCATCAAGCATCCTGATCACATTTCCTCCCGACTAATTCGTGCAGATCTTTCTCAGCAGTCCTCAGTCCTGGCCACAGGGGTCACCTAGGGAGTCCATCAAAGTGCGACACCCAGGTGTGCTTCCCCTTATGTGAAGACTCTTCTACCTGGATTCTTTAATACGGTCAGACTTCCTCCGCTTTGCAGCAATGCTTCATTTGCCCAGCCTTGCTTGCTGGGGACAGTGGCAGGTCCAAAATTTTTGCAGAGGAGTTTCGAGCCCACAATCTGATTGTTGCGGGGCGGGTGTGTGTGTTTAGCATCTGCCTAAGGCTGACACATTCATCGTCAAAGGGGAAAAGGCCAGACAGACCTGAGGGTTGGGAAATCAGAGGTTCTACTACTAACCTTTTTCAAAAACTGAAGTTTACTTCCATGGTAGAAAATTTCCTGTTTTTTATGGAAAATTAAATTTTCCATAAATTAAATCAATCTTAAAACACAGTATAGCATAAATTAAATCCATCTTAAAATTCCATAAATTAAATCCATCTTAAAACACAGTATAGCAAACACCACTTAACTTCTGTGTGTCGTGACACGGAGGCCCTTGAAAGCTGACAGGGGCTGTCAGTCCTTCCACTAGGTGGCGTATTGAAGTCCTCTCACTGTTTTCTCCATTTGGTCCTCTCCCATCTCGGTGGGTATCCACAAGACACGCTTCACCTTGAGGCTTCTAGGCTGTCGTGAGGTGGAAAAGCAGCTGCCCAACCAGGTGAGAAATCTATGTCCCAAGAGTGTACGAAAGCTCCCAGCAAGAGATTCTACCCAAGAATCCACCGCCCTGTTGCCACGCTGGCTTTGTCTGGGTCTCATTAATGTGTTCCAGATGCTGAGGCTGCAACTGAGACCCCCAGATAAAAGAACATGGCTCCAGCCTGAACTCCCATCACTTCCATTTGTTAAGTACCAATAGCCTCTAACCGGCCACAATTAAATGGCACTGGCTGAGCCTCGTCCGGGTTCTCAGGTGCCTTTGTCAAATTTATTTCAGAACGTCAGGCATGTTCAAAGAATTGCCAAAAAGCTCAGCCACATTAGGAGCTCTTTAAAGTTTATATTAACCAACTATAGCACCCCAGGCAGATGATGAAATAGTAACCTATTGACCCAACATTTTAAAATTCCACTTTTAGTTCAGGGAAGAAAAATCTATTTTCCTTAAGAAAAGAGTTTATTAAAGGGAACAAGGGAATAATGTTTTTAGAAAGTATCCTGTAAATTTTTTTCTTTTCACTTTGCTGATTTCAACAGGATGAGGCCCATTATTGTTACAATAGCCTATTTTAGCAGAGAGAAAGGATTAAAGGGCAGGCTGCCCGCCAAGTTCACTCCTGCTGCTCTTCGCCAAGTCAGAGCTCAGTCAGCGAGGGACTGGACAGGTGCGTGACGAGGCGCAGGTTACACTGAAGAGGAAAACATACGTAACCGGTGGTGACGCTGACCAAGTGCAGACTGTGTGCAGCACGGAGCCAAGAGCATCAAGGAATCATCTGCTTACTCCTCGGGACAAGCCGGAAGGTGAGTGTGGTCCTCACCCTCCATCTGAGGCTGAGGGAAGTTATGCTCAAGGCCCCCAGGTGGTTAAGTGACTTGTAGGCATTCTAAATTCTTAGATCAGAATTGGACACACCTAAAAGAACAAGGTAGACCGCTAAGCTCTGACTGGAAAGGATGTCAACATCATGTTGCTCAGTGAAGAGAGGACTTTCTGGCAAAGTGGAAGGGTGTGTCTGGAAACACCGCTGGCCACCCCTCTATTTCCCTGATGCTTCCCTGTGTGATCCGGGCCCCAGTAGCATCAGCAGCCGCTGGGAGCGTCAGGGATGCAGTCTCGGTCCCTCCTCCCACCCCATCTCTGCCCCTGACCTCCTGCATCAGAACCTGCATCTTACAGGAGTCAGATGCTCTGCATCCTCACCAGCGCCTGAGAAGAACATCGTTCCCAGGGCCTCTGCACTTGCTGGGTGGTGCTTCCCCAAGACTTACGTGCCTCACTCCCTCTCATTCCTTTTAACTCGGCTTAGTGTCATACCCCCCCCCCAGAAGTCTTCCCTGACCCACTAGAAAAGCATCCTCTATCCGCTCCCCACCCCCTTCACTTTCCCAGAGCAGCTGTCCCTCCTGAAATCACACTGCCCTGTAACCTCCACCCAGGCTGGGGCTTAGCAGCCCCAGCACCTGAGACGGCAGCTGGGATATAAGGGCCTGGTAAATATTTTCATGAAGGACTATTTTATATGCAGCACTGTGCATAGTGCAAATGTAACGAAACTAAACCCAAATCATGGAGATCCCTGGGAAACGGTGAAGGGAGGCTGAGGGGAAAGGGACATGCCCCTTTTGCTCATTTGTGCTTTTTGCAATTTATCAAAGGAGTAGGCACTGTTACTGTAATTTATCAAACACTTTTCAATAAATTGATCCAACGATCTCAAGATATATCAAACTACAAAAACAAAGCAGAACACATCTTTCTAAAAAGATTTTAGGCTTTATTAGTTTATCAGACTACACTTCAATAAATAAGAAATCATTTCCTTTTAAGGGCCTGTTTGTTTCCCCTCGGAAATGCTATTATGTTATGCCAGGAATTTTATTTTGGAAACCCAGACGTCACAACTATGTCACGTGGACTACACGCTCTCCCACTAGCAGGCCAGGCCCAGAAACGGCCTGGCTGATTCTGGAAGTGCTGCAGACCCTCAGACTCGGCTGAGGATGATGACCCTGAGTGGCAGAGAGACTGAGCGCATCCAAATCAGAGTTCACAAAAGAAAACAGTCTTTACTGATGAATCATTTATTCGAACAAGACAAAAACGTCTCACATTGTTTCCTTTTATACAGAAAGTGGAACATTTCAAATATATTAGTTTTCCTCTCTTTCAACAGAATTTGTTTCCATCTGGTCCCAGGAACTGCTTTTCATTTTAGGATTCACGTTTTAGTAACACGTATGCACCCATTACCGCCAAAAGCGCATACTGTAAAGAAAACACAATGGAAGATTACTATGAGGCTGACAAATAAGTTTGGCCTATAAACGTATTCAGATGAAGTTTGGTCAATACTGGACTGAGGACAGGATCAAAAGATGACCTCTTTCCCCATGCTTTGTTCCCCAAGGGAGCTGTTCAATAACACATGAGAGTTAAAATGCCCCAAATATACTGATGGGCTGAATATTAAACGTCCGACAAACACAGATAATGTACTACTCATTCTTACGTAGGTGTTCCTATTGTGTTTCAAATGATTTGTTTTTTAAAAAGATACTATTTTGTTGAAGTTGTGAGATAAGCATTACTGGGTTCATTGGACTCCTTTTTTTTTTGTTATGTTTGAAGATTTCCATAATAAAAAGCAAAAAATATATAGGTGCCATTTTAGAACATACTCCATGAACATAAAAGGTGGAAGTAGCTACTTCAAATTAATTTCAGTGTCGACAGTTTAAATGATTATGTTATTGTGGTTAACTACACTCTGCAGAAGGCTTCACTAGCAAGACATTTTAAACAGACGGCATCTTTACAGTTGCACATGTTTAAGTGCCACTGTTGTTTGTTTTTTTAAAATACAGACGTACACATAAATTCCTACCTTGAATTTTGGATAGTCATTCATGATTATGGTGACCATACCAACATATGGTAAAAACCTAAATTGTCAGGGAAAAAAGCCAGAAATATAAAAAGTGTTTGTTATAGGATGATAGCAACACTTGAAAACACTATAAATCAGCATTAGGAAAAGGAAAATCGCCTCGGGGGACACCACTGATTGGAGCCATAAAGACAATAAATACTCACTCCTGTCTCAAAAGGCTCTTTATGAGTGAAAAGCATCAGTGCTAAGAGCCAGGACAATTTTTTAAGAAGGCAAATCCCGAGCTAGAGAGGCTGTGTGTCTTCACTCGCTGCAGCCACCAGAACGGAATTAAAACACTTATTTGAGCCCCTTGTACGACAGAATGCGCCACTTTCACCAGTCCAGTGCCGTTTTTCTTAGTAGAGAAGGTAAGATTCAGAGGACTTACATAAAAACTGTGGTTAGAGAAGGCTTTTAAAAGCACACGAGTGATTAGTTTGTAGCTGGAAGGACCGCCATGATTTTCATTCCACGGTACCTTTCAGATATAACAGGCAAGTTTGTTGGGCGCTGAATGCAAATGTGAATCCCGTAACTTGTACCCAAACATGACTATGGTCCCAGAGATAACAAACCGGCACAAGCCAGCCAAGGATCGTGCTGAAAAAACTGACGTCAACGTGTAATCAGTGTGACCTAAGCCTCAATCACGTCACTGATGAGAAATAAGGTAACATGCCCTGAGTGCCGCCCAGTGTTCTTCAACACCAGCAACTTCAACCTCTCACTTACACAAAGCCTATCACCTAGGTGTCTAAAACAGAGGACTGGCCAGCCCCAAGTCTCTCTCATCTCCCTGCTGGAAATGCAATAGAGAGCAAATGGTTAAAAGCTGAGCAGGGGAGGAAAGGGGAAGAAAGAGGCCTTAACCCGCAGTCTGATGAATAAAGCTGAATCTTAGAAAATGTCACCAGTGTTCTCCAGCCTGACGCAGGTGATGGGATTTACATAAAAGGAGACATTTCCAACAAGGGTTAAACATAAAAAGGGTCACCAAGAGAGGGGAAGAATAGCCTTTTTTGGTATTTAATAAGAGGACAGACTCTCCGCTGTGTCAACCAGAAGCAGAACTCATAACTGGAGCAATTATACAAAGTTGGGTATTAAAAAAATTGATCACAGAACTGTTTTTAGTCATAAGAAACAGGAAATAATCCAAATGTCCACCAAAAGAAGACTAGTTAAATAAGGTGTGATTCTCAGAGGAACAGCATGTAGCAGTTTAAAAAGACACATGTAGATTTAACACAGAAAGTGATTTCCAACCTCCTGTGGGGTGAAAGAAATAAAATTCTTCTTCGTAAAAGTGTGTGTATTATATATGCGTGCACATACCTGTGTGGGTGCAAGGCCTACCTAGGGTATTCAGCACAGCGTTAGACCGTGGGAGTCTCTGGGAGGATTTCCTACAATTGTTACTTAAAATCTATAAATAACTAATCTCTAGGTGAGGATTTATTTCAAAAATGGAATTAAACCCATGATACAGACAGCAAACCTGCATTCAGTTTCAGATTTTAGGCCCTTAGGATGTTCTGAGTTACGTTTAGTCTTCACAGTCCAAAGCAGAGCTGCTTACAATTCTCCTGACATAGAACATTTGTAATGAACGATGATTCTACTAACTTACACATTTGGTTTCTTTGTTTCTAAATACTTTTCTGGTTTCTGCATCTTCTATGGAACATAAAAGTTGATCCTCACTCACCCTCTGGCTCTTCCCACCACGTCCTTCTTTTCGAGCCAGTTTTGGCCCTCTTTGTACAACCCCCTGTCGTCGACTTCATTATTATCTCCTTTAGTCAGGAATTTGATGTCTCCATTATCTCTGGAAAGCAAAACAATGTCCTTTCAGAAATTATTTTCAGCACAGCATCGTTAGAAAAATATCCATTTAGCCAACATTTTGCAGTCAGATATGGCCCTTTCGGAAACCAGTCAAAGATAACTTGATCTTTCTTGGTCTAAGAGGGTTGCTTGGAGATGACCATTCAGCTAACGCACAAATCTAATGGCAATTCTGTAGACTTAAATTCTAAAACACTTCAGTTACCCCGACAACCTAAAAGCATGGGAAAGCGCAGGGCACCATGGTGGCAAGGACTTGCTCCAGCACCTGAATCCACCCACTCTCAGTCCTCACAGACCAACCGGTTAACACGGCTGATACTCCTCTTCACTCTGGACGTGAACTTGGTCCCAGATGACACAGATCCTCACACGAGGTGATTCAAACATGAGCGCGCTCTTAGCTCTCCTCAGTTTACTTCTCCATACCAAATATGGACTGTGTTAACACCTTACTTCCTTCACCACTGAGCAAGGTGGTGTACAATCCAGTTTGCAAACAAATAAGAATTACAAACGGCATAAAATCACTGTGTTAAAGAGACAGGTGGGGCTCATTTTAAACATTCTAAACTGGTGCCTGCCCCGCCTCCACACCAGACACGCCATATTATAGCATCACAGACCTTTAAAGAGGGTCTTCTTTTAATAAGACAAATGAAAAAATGCACTAAATAATTTGATAAAATATTAAAAGTCCACAAAGGTTAGAAATCATGCCAAAAGGAGCAAGTTGATTTGCCGCTGCGGTTACGAAGGAAATCAAGAGGCCAAAAATCCGGGCTGCCTCTCACAATCCATGCAAATTACAGCAAATCATTACTTCCCCAGCTTTGAACAATTTCTCATCTTTGGAAATTGTTTTAAAAGCAGGTGACAGTTCTACACATCATGACTGAGCACATTTCTTCGTCAGTAAGTTAACAAGTAGACAAGATAACATTAACAAGATAACGTTAGCGCAGTACTGGTGTGTTAACACGAAGCAGGACAGGGCCGTGCTAATGTTTAGAGTAAAGTGAAGTGAGTATTTTGAGAATCAAACATCTTTGGGGAACACCTGGAAGCACTGAATGGAATGAGAATCTAATACCGGAAGTGTATAAATAGTTACACACGCACACTCCATACAAATACACATATCTGATTTTAATTCCGTAACTCATGCAGGTAAAATGCTACACTAAGCTGCATAAAGGTAAATGTAGCTTTAAATATAACATTTCTGCTAATGATATGACTGTATTCTCTCATGGAATTCTCTCATTGAGCTAGAAGTAATTGTTTCTGGTTCCCAAGAAGTGTCTTATTAAGTCATCACTGGCATTTAAGGGAAAGGCAAAGCCATTTTGGGAGGAAAATTAATGCAGGATATGCAATGACCAAATCAAGGCATGAGTTGGGCAAAGGAGTTTTTATCCCTCTGGGGCTAATCTTACTGTTGAGAATGCCAGTCGGTCCAAAGTGACAGAGAAAACAGTAGCTCTCTGCATTTCAGAAGGTAACTCTCATATCAAAGTCCTCCTCAATTACAATGAGACTTGATTTTCTTTGAGACTCTTTCCAATAACTAATATTACACAAGAATACATTCCATCTTACATTGTGCAGCAATTTAGGGTTTTCAAGTGCTTTAGTGACTGTCAGCTCACTTCATTCTCATAATCACCCTGCGAGTTGCGGTGGATAAAGTAGCATCGTTCCCACTGAATACGCTGAGCTGAGCAGCAGGTGCAAAGCCACCCAGTTAGTAAACCGCAGAACCAGGAATACACTCGGTGCTTCTGCCACTTTCTAATCAACCGTTAAAACTGTCTCCCCAAAATTTACAGAACAAAACCCAAGAGAAGTAAAGCGTCTTTACTTTTCATGAACTTTGATTACTCTGTGAACTATTGGAATGTCTCGTCCTTCCACTTTAAAAACAACGATTTCACCAGCTCTAATCGGGTCTTCCCGGAAATTTGTTAGGAACAGAAGGTCGCCCCTGTGAAAGGCTGGCTCCATGCTGCCACTGGAAGGAAGCAGAAAATCACATCAGAAGTACCCTGGATTCGCCAGGTGAACACGTCAATTCATAAAGAATGTAACAAACGTACCAGTCAGAAGGTCAGCTTTCATCACAGTCACGTAGGTTGACGAGCTATATACAAGGGGCCGCAGGGGTTTCTCCTGACCGCTCATGGGGACAACGGTCAGGGACAAAAGGAACCATTTCTTCTCAGACTTAAGTGTGAAAAGGGCACTACTGGGCCCCTCTGCAGTTTGCATCAGGTAGAAAAACAACTCAGAATGATGTGGACTCTTTGGAGTAAAAGCCATTTTTTAGCCTCAGAGCCCTCCATCTACCAATACTACTTTCATTCAGAACTACAGGCTCTGAAGGCTGGTTAATACTCTAGGGCAGTTCTCACATTTTGCGGTGTGTCCCCAGCACCCAGGTCATGGACGTACTTGTTCACGGAACAAGAAACAGACTAATGAATACACTTAGGGAGGATGATCTACCGAAAGCCAAGCTGAAGGTTGGGACAAGAGTCAAGGCCAAGTCTTCCGATTCCTGCAGTGCGATCCTTTGAACCGTGTTCTGCAGAAAGCCCGATTCTAACAAAGCTCGACTGTGTTTGACGTGAGGCCCATGAATAATCCCACAGAGTACCAGTCTAAACCCACGCCAAAAATCTTCAGTGGATTCAAAGTAAAGTGTAATCTAGTGGGAGGTGAAATCATCAAAACAGAACTCATTTTCTACCCTCCCGTGCTTTGTTTTACTGCATGAGAAAGTCAGTCAGACTAAACACAGGGGCTGTGGAGCCAA